CCCCCCCCCCCCCCCCCGCTTTTACTTAATTGTTTCGGCGGCGTGCACACGTAAACAAACACAATACGCGTCATGTGTAGGCTGATTCATTAACAAATGACTCTAATGATTTGTTTCTTTTTAGTGAGTCAAATACATTCAGTGCGACGAGCATAGTCCGATTCACGAACAAATGATTCTTAGGGGCCGGTTTTGTTTAGTGAATCAAAAACATACAGCGTGATCTGTGTGATCTTTTTTTACAGTCTATGGTGTGTAGACCAATTCACAAACAAATGACTCTTATGATCGGTTTGTTTTTAGTCAGTTTCAAGAACAACTGACCCTTATGAGCCGGATCTTTTAAAGGAATCAAAAATACACAGAGCGAACAGTGAGTCGTTCAAAGGACGAGTTACTGGTTCAATAAGGTTACTGAATCAACATCTGACTCGCTTTGAATCAGTTGGCTCGTAATTATCATTATTTTCAGTTTTCAGTGATGCCCATATCAAAATTACGCACGTTTTGTGATAAAAATGAATGAATGAATGAATTAATTAATTAACTAATCTTGGTTAGCACTGCTCCGGGTGTGTGTTCACGGTGTGTGTGTGTTCACTGCTGTGTGTGTGCACTTTGGATGGGATAAATGCAGAGCACTAATTCCGAGTATGGGTCACCATACTTGGCCACACGTCACTTTCACTTAGGGTCACGTCCTGGTGAAAGCATTTGCACACTTGTATGGGATTTGTGCATAGATTATGATACCATTTGTTCATTGCTTATATATTTACTTTGTTTCTGCATACATGATATGCTTTATTCCCTGATATTTACAGGAGAGTTAAGAAAAATATCATGATGAAATGCCATTTGAACACTTTCATTTCAACAATTGATTGAATATATTTCCATATTTAAATATATATTATAGATTTGATTTATATCATGACATTTGAAGTATGAACCAGGGATGCACAGATCTTATCCAGCTACTTATATGCGCTTGTAGCCATGCAGAGAAAGCAAGCTTCATATTTTAGAGTGGGCTGAAA